CATTCCAAAGGCTTTTTAAAAAAAATTATTATTTTTTCCTTAATACCCCGCTGTGAGGCACTGTCTTGTTTAATTCATGATTCTTTGAAGAAAGATTTGCCATCTTAAGGGAATAAAAACAAGTCTGTGTTATCTTTTTTAAAAACATCATGTGTTTTTGGTGAAGTCTAGGCCTGAACAAATACTCACATGGACTGAAAAACTGAAAATTCAGGTAATAATGAATGGATAGGACACAGTTACAATGGGTTTGGAGACTCAAAGGTTGGGCCAAGCAAAATTCTGAAGTTAGCAGAGCATTTTTTGACCTAAATTCCCTCAGGAACAGAAGGGAAATACTGTTCCATACAGCTTTATGTATTTTTGACTCTCACTGCTGAATTCCTTCAGACTTTGGTTATACTGGAGTTAAAAGTTAGGCTTTCCTTTAATTTTCCAAGCTCACATAATAGAAAATAAGACATTACTGTCTTATTTTATGGCTTTTTTCCATTGCCCAAAACACAAAATTCAGGCCAGGTTCTGGTGAGGATGGGAAGAAATGGGAAAGCATTTAGGTGAAAAAAGAACAACAAAGTTCAGTCACGCACAAAATGCTTTTTATTTCTTGTATTTTTTTAACCAAAACTCAAAATTTCTGTGAAGAATTTGCCATGGGACAATAGCTGTGTTTTGGGGGTGACATGCACAGAGCCCACAGTCACAACTGAGACATCTCCAACCACAGACACCAAACCTTCCTGCCCACACTGCACCTGAAACTGCACTGGGAGGCCTCAGAAATCCCACAGGATTCCAACCAATCTCCAGTTGCCTTGGAAGTGTAATTAACTGCAATTGCCTTTGTGATTTTATCTCCATTTTCTCAGGTTCTGGGCAATTTGGGAAAGCTCTCTGTGTACCTACAGGTGAGAATGCACACCAGAGCATGCACCTACTTGTCTGGAGCTACCAACTTCCCAGTGGATCTGCTTTTCTCAGGGCCTCCTTGGAGAATGAAACTTAAGGAAGAATCCATTCTTTGGGAAATTCTCCTTCTTATCCTGTAAAGTCACTGATAAAAAGATTTCTGGTCCTGCTGGTGATATGAGCTCCAATCAAGGGGGTGTTGAAGCTCAGCTTGGCTCCTCCAGGCTCAAGCTCTGTGCTTCCCACAAGGTTTTCTGATAAATTGCTCTCACAGGGATTTAAAAAAAAAAGATGCTGACCTGGCCCTTGCAGTAAGAAAGAGATTTTCCTTCCTTCTCCACATAAATTTTATAGTTTCCTTAAAAAAAATAGAAAGAAGGGATTCAGAGAGAGCAATGGGGAACAGAAGAAAAGGGGAAAGTTTGACCTGGGTCAAGGGGTAATTGATACTCCAAGCTCCAGCTTCACCCATTTTCAAAGAATCACAAAATCAGGGGATGGTTTCAGGGAATTTTCAGGCTGGATGGGGTTTGGAGCAACCTGGTCTAGTGGAGGATGTCCCTGTGTTGAAGCAGATGGTGTCTTCCAAACCAAACCATTTTATGAAAATTTTTGCCTCTGCAGGGAAGGTTCAGCACTAGCTCCATTCAAAAATACAGATTAGGTGTAGTCAATGAGTTGGAGAAATCCATCCAAAAAATTAGAGAGCTGTTTCAATCTGAAAAACTTTCCCAGTCAGTGGAAAATTCAGCTTTGCTACAAAGTCAGAGGGAAGTGGAAGTTTCTGAGCCAGCCCAGGCAGGAGTTTGCCCGCACACCCCAAGGAGAAAGGCCAAGAATGAAGCATCTGAACACAGCCCTGCCAAAACCTCCCTGGTTTTATCATCCTGAGTTCAAACCCAGACCTCCTGTCCTGCTGTTCACACTGCACACTGAAGGGTTTCCAAGAAATGTTTCTTGGCAGCAATCCCAAAAAACCCAGCTTCCGACCCGCCACGGGAGCAGAGGTGGCTCCTCTGCGGGTTTTGAACGCTGAATTTCCAAAGAAATTCCAGCATTTCTGAACAAGGCTCTTGATTTTCTCAAACAAAACTATTTCTGTGAGCTTAATTCAGGGCTGGTGGTCTAAGGACTTGGAGAAGATGATCCTGCCCACATTCCCATTTCAGGTTTTGCATGGCATTAGGAATGCTTCCCACCTACCCTTCCTGTAAACCTGCTGGGATCATGAAAATAATTATGATGGAAAATGTGTGAACCCAGATTTTAGAAGGAATTTCTGGACTCTGGGAGCAGTGAGGCCCTAGCACAGGATACCCAGAGAAGCTGTGGCTGCCCCTGGATCCCTGGCAGTGCCCAAGGCCAGGCTGGACAGGGCTTGGAGCCACCTGGGATGGTGGAAGGTGTCCCTGCCATGGCAGGGGTGGAATGAGGTGACCTTTAAAGAACCTTTCCAACCAAATATTCTACAATTCCCACCCATACCCTCTGGGACAGACAGCACCTGTCTGGTGGCGGGTCTGTTCCTACCTCTCAATCTCCTTCCTCTCCTCCAGGAATGCCAATTTTTCAAGCCAATTTTGATTTGAGACCACCATGATCTCTACAGAGTGCTTGGACCACAATGATGTCCGGGATCCCAAGGTTTCCAGTTGCACAAGAAGAACCTTTTTAGGGTATAATCAACATTTCAGATCTAAATTCAGAAGTGTTCTCACCTGTGCTCTGCAAACACAGGCTCCCTGCTCTGCCAGCACTGCTGCTGCTCTGCCTGAGCTGGAATAAAAGTGTGACACTGCTGAAAGGGCTGACATAAAAGAAGACAGCAACTTGTGACAAGTGAATGTGACCAGTGCAAACAAAGCCCAGAAACCTGAGTGGGCAGTTTTGTATGGGTTTCATGCATCACTTTTCCCCCACATAATCCAAATGTGAATGCTCTGGCCCTGTGACACCAATCAGGAAGTGATGGATAATGAAACACAAGCAGAAATGGGTGCACAAACCCTTCCAGCTCCATCAGCTGCTTCATAACCATCGTTTTAGAGAGAGAACAAACATTCAGCCCAAAATGCCTTTCCAGTAGCCCACAGGAGTCAAGAGGCTCTGGGTATGCTGGATACCTCTGATACTCCATCTCTGAATCCCACACCACACGAGGTGGTGAACAAGTCCCATGACCTCAGGATGGACTTTGCTGTCTTATTCCTAAAGGATTCTGTTGAAGAAGCTGCTGTTTTAATCCAAATTTTAAAAGGAAAGTGCTGTGGGACTATTTCACTTCAGCCAACAGAGTCACATCCACATGGGGTTTCATCATACAAGACAAAACACTCACAAACACACAAACTCACAAATTTTTGGGACCATTTCACCTGGCCACTCACAGCAGTGATCAGCCCATGGCCACTGCTCTTCACGTGGCTCCAGGCACATCCTGCCAATCCCAGCAGCTCCAGGATTCCAGCTGGCCACTGAATTCCAACCCCAAACAGCTCAGAAGCCCTGATAGGCACATCCAAGCTCTTGCTTCTCTAAAAAATCATTTTCTTTTACTAGTAGAAACTTAAAAATAAATAGAGTTTAGTCTATTAATGTTTATGCTGAGCATCACATATTAATTAATTCTGAGACTTCAGTCTCATTGAATTTATTCATTTTCTGGGATCAGCTATGGAGAAAGCAGGCACCAAAGACAAAGTCTTTCTCCTAGGACAGCTGGCCACTTCTTAAAAATTATAATAAAAAAAACTATGTAAATGTAAAATTAGTAAATTATAATCATAGAATACCTGAGTTGGAAGGGACCCACAAGGATCATCCAAGTCCAACTCCTGGCCCTGCACAGGACAACTCTAATTACTGGGATTCATTCAGCTGTTGACCTCAAAGAGGAGTTTTCCACAAATTAAAAAGTGAGCAAGAAAAAAAAAATTTAAAAAAACCAACTTAAAAATACAGGTAGCAAAACACTGAAATTCAGTGAAGTACAGAGAGGAACACACACAAACAGATGTGAAACTCACTGCTAAATATCACAGATTCCAAGGGAAGGATTTAGTCAACCCTAAAAGTTAGGACTGGCTTCAGTTTGGCACTGAGGTATCAAATCAGATTTGCAATGAGTTTGAAGAATTTTTATAGAAAACCATAAATTGGTGAAGTTTGTGAAGCAGGCAGTGTCAGCTGGACCCTGTGTGGAGGCTTTAAGGAAATATCAAACCACAAATACAAACTACTTCTCCAGCCAGGGTGAACCTGTGAAAGCCACAGCAACAAGAAATGCTTGAGGAAAAGACCTTGTTGATACAAATCCCAGGTTTCACAGGCACATCTCCCTTTGCTGCTCCAGCAGCACCATCCCAGCACTGAATCCACCTGGGCTGGAACGAGTCCTCCCAAACACCCAACAAGAAATCTTACAGTAGGGTTTTTATTTTTCATTTCTAAAAGCATTCTTCAATCTTTTCCACAGGTTAGACCACGGGAAGAACTTTGACCAGAAAAACTTCCCACAGACTCCCTGATGGATGTTGGGTTTTAATTCACCAATGTCCTGAGTAACACTTCTTACTCTGGAACCTTCCTTCTTACTCCATGGCCTTCCTTTCCTTAGAAAGACTCTGGGCTTTTTCTTTCCCCCTCCTTTATAAATCATTTATGCAAGAATTCGTGCCCATCTGCACGAAAATAAGAATATATTTCTGTCTAATACCAATTCAGTATACTTTAGTCTAATACTGGTTTGAATAGACAACAAAAAGAAATTTATTAAAAATTATCTTAAAAATAGCTCAAATATTGATGCCCAAACTCTACTCATGACACAAGCCAGAAGTTTCACACATGAAAGATTCTTTAAAGGCAAATGGAGACAAACCACTGGATTTATCCAAGGTTGCACCAAAACAAAGCCAACACTAAGAAGATTGAGCTCATTAGGATTGAACAAGGGAACGATGGAGTGCAGATTCCTCCTTGTAGGATTGAGGGATGTGAACCCATGAGGAAGCTGCACACCCTGGAACCTCCAAAGGCTGCACCAGCACCAGCTGCACACCCCAAACACCTCAGCCATGCCTCTGCTGTACCTTGGAAGGGACCTTCATTCACCTCTTCGCCTCCCCGACGCCACAGCCAAAGCTTCTTCTGATTCAAACCAAACCAGGAGGATGAGGAGCACACAATCAATCCTTGTTAATTTAAGGCTGATGATTATTCTCAAAGCACCCTGGAAGAGAGGAACACCCAGTGAGTGGTTTGTGCCAAGGTGAAACAGCCTTTTCTGCCCCAAATGCTTGGGTTCTGTTCTTTATGACTGGGATTGTCCCATCAAACTGAGATTTTTCCAGACATTATTGCAGTCCTCATATAAAATAAGTTTATCCAAGTATTCCAAGCTCAGCTTGCAGAAGATAGGGAGATGGTCAAGGAGAAGACTGAAGACCACAACTCATATTTCAGGGAATAACCCACAGCCTGCTAATACAGCAGCAGTTAATTAACAACAAAAAAAAAGAGTCTTAAATTGTTCTGTTTTGCAGAGAGGACACCGAAGAACACACACCACTTGGCCTGAAGCTGGAATGATCTCATTTTCTGCAAGATTTTACATCCAAATCTAGATTGCTGCCTTAAAAATGCCCTTATTTTTGGGGAGGAAAGTGAAGGTTTGTGGGCAGCAGCCAGGTACTCATCAGGCCAGCCAGCACCAGTGGGAAGAGAGGACAAACCTCTGGACAGCACAAACCCTTCTGGAGGCCTGGAACAGGGCAAGGTGCCTTCAAAGGCTCCTCTGCTCATGAAAACAACCCCAAGGTGGAATTAGAAATGTATCAGTTAAAGCATCTACAGGAGAGTGGCTTCTCTGGAGCTGTGGGTATGTTGGCAAGACAGGAAAATAATATTCCACCAGGCTGGGGGAGAGACAAGGGAATTATTCCCTTGGCAACCACTTCATGGGACTTGGTTCTCTCCTCAGTTATTCATATTTGCCTCCTCAGTTACTTTCTGTAGGACTCCTCCAGTCTTAGATCTCATTTTAAAGTTGGTTACATCTTCTACATATTGTGCAAACAGGAGAGGTGCATTTTTTAAGGTGAGTCTAAAACAGCTGAAACCACCTGTAGTGTGGGAACATCTGGCAAAATTCAATGCCCTCCTTGATGAAGTAAGAGAAAAGCTGATGCTCTTTGTTCTAATGCTTTATTAGGGCATTGAAGCCTCACAGAGAATGAGCACCCAAACCACCCACCCACAGCAAAGGCAGCAGCAGAACCAATACTCCAACAGCTGTCACAGACACATTTTATGAAAAATCCTTTCCTTAGCATTTTTCCTCCTGAGAAGCTGAGAAGCCTCAGGAACAAAATGTAAACAATGGTTATCTGCTGCTGTGGAATGCAACAGGTGCATCTGTGATTGGTCTCATGTGGTTGTTTCTAATTAATGGCCAATTACAGCCCAGCTGGCTCGGACAGAGAGTCCAAGCCACAAGCTTTTGTTATTCATTCCTTCTTTTTCTATTCTTAGCCAGCCTACTGAGGAAATCCTTTCTTCTATTCTTTTAGTATAGTTTTAATATAATATACATCATAAAATAATAAATCAAGCCTTCTGAAACATGGAGTCAGATCCTCATCTCTTCCCTCATCCTAAGACCCCTGTGAACACCACCACAAAGAGCAGCTTCCAGGTGTCCCTTAAACATTCTGGTGAAGGTGATGGAGACTGCCAGGCTAGAGAGCCAAATCCTCACATCCAACATCCCTGCAAGTGTCCAAGGCCAGGCTGGATGGGGATTGGGGCAACCTGGTTTAGTTGAAGTTGTCCCTACAACTCGTCTTGGAACTAAAACATCTCAAAAGATCCCTTCCAACCCAAACCATTCCGTGTTTCTGTGGATTTATTTGAAGTTGGAGAAAGGAGATCCATTCTGCAGGCACAGGGAAGGAGCAGCAGTGCTCCCTGGACTCCCACTCCATTCCCCAAGGAATAACCCAGCCTCTCACGGCCATGTGCATTCCCAATCCGGCTCTGCAGCAAAACAGGCTCCCTCTAATTATCCCTCAGCCTGCTGACATCTGAATGGTGGAACAGAAGCATGGCAGAGACACAGAATGAGGGAGTGTGAAAACAAGCCTGGCTCCTTTCTCTGCTCACACCGCAGGTCCCGAGCGCACGAGGACTCGCTCCCGCCCGAGTCACTCCCAGCAACGCTTCCCAAGCACTCGCAATTCCCACGCAGGAGGCTTTTCTGGCAAAATTATTTAAAAATGAGAGGGCAAGAGCAACTCTGGGGCTGGAAGGAGCAACAGAGTGATGAGAAGGATCAGTTGTGTCTGTGGAGACTTACTAGAAGTAATTTATATGCAACTAAAACAAATATCCCCCCCACACTTTTCCAGGAAAATGCTGAATTCCATACTGATTTACACGCTTTCCAATCCCATTGACTTCAGAGGGATTGCCTGCAGTAGGAATCACCAGGCTGTGGCCTCCCAGCAATGGAGTAATCCTTTCATATTCCCCCTTTCAAAAGCCCCATCATCCATCCAGGTGCTGCAGCTCAGGCCCCATGAGCTGAGTTCCAGCCCTGCAGCAACACTTCTCCCATCCCTGCAAAATCCTGGGAAGGGGGGAGAGGGAAATAAAAATCTGATGATGGAAATGCCTCGTGGAGTGTGGCTGAGCTGGGGAGAGAGAGGCCTGAACCCTCCTTCCACCTAATTAAATCCAGATCCAAAAGCTGTTCTGATCCAAGTGCATTAAGTATTTTTGTTAGGAAGGGCAGGGAGAAATTAACTCCTCACTCTGGCTCTAATCTTTTTTTCGTTGTTGTTTGAATTCTCCCACTTCCTACAATTTCAGCATTTCTTTGTGATAAAGAGGAGCTCTGGCTGGCTCATCTGCCCCTTTTCTCCATGGCATTGGGCAGATGCTCCCTCCAGCCAAGCTCTTCAAAATCACAGGACCTGCTTCTGCATTTACAAATATTGGTGCAAAAGGCAACTGCTGACCCCACTCTTTTGTCACAGCTGTTATTTACAGCACCACCAGCACGCTGGAGAGATGATAATAAATGTTTAATGGTCCAGTAAACACCAAGAGCTTTATCTCCAGCCCATTTCCAAGCCTGATCAAATATAATAATCCTTTGTATGTCTGTCTGCCACTTCCCTGGCTCCTGTGGGATGGGAAGAGATGGACAGGGCTGTTCTACATTCAGACATATAAATAAAGAGAAAAAGGGCTTAGTTATAGGGACATAAATGTTTTCCCTGCTTCCATATCAATTCTTTGCTCCCATAAGGTCAAAACTATCCACTAACCTGTTGGACCTCAACTTCTATAGAATACAGAAATGCAGGCAGCATCTGCCTCTAGGATTCAATGCAGCAGTTATAAATAACAGGAATATTACACAGAGGAAGTGGGGAATATGTGGAGGAAGTTGAGTTGAGAGAAGAATCATCCACTTACACACTGGGCAGATAAACCACTTCCTCAGCTCTGAAATGGAAGATCTATTCCTCCTCCAATTATAGCTGTGGGTCCATTACTCAATATTCCCTCCTCATGCAAATCTTACTTATCTCATAGAGCCTCATCTCTCCCAGCTGACACTGGAAATGAGTCATTTGACACATTAAAGTGAAGCAGTTAGGGTTTTATTATGCTATTACACATCACTGTGACAAG